GTTTTTGAGACTTGAGAAGAGGTTTTGCTCTCCGTGTGTCAGTTTAAATAATTGTGCTATGCATCTCATTTTAGTGTGTTAGCAATTGGAAAAAAAAATGTATTGGCAAGAGTGTAACAAAGACAACATCGTCAAAGCATTAATCAATTATAGAGTAAAGTGTGTGTGTTTCACAGAGATTGTGTAAGTGTGTGTTGACATTGATGTATGTGTTTGTTTGTGTGTTGATGTTGTTACTTGTGTGTGTGTGTTGCAGCACACATCGCACATAGCATCGTATACATATATAAGTATTAGTATTAAGTAGTTATATTAGCAAAATATAATCACTCAATTATTTAAAAATGTACAAACCATATATAAAAATTAATGATAGCAATAACAAAAATACATTGAATGAAATATATTAATATTGTAATATTACTTATAGGTCATCAATTAGGTAATTGCAGGAGGTGATACATTTTGCAACCATCTCTCTCTCTCTCTCTCTCTCTCTCTCTCTCTCTCTCTCTCTCTGTCGTTCTCTCACAACAATGCAAAAGCATTAAAATGTAAAGAGAATATAAAATATAATCCATGAAATCAAGTAAATATCTGAAGACAAAAAACTCTGTGTGTGTGTGTGTGTGTGTGTGTGTGTGTGTGTGTGTGTGTGTGTGTGTGTGTGTGTGTCAGAGATTGAGGAAGTGTGTGTGGGAAGTTGTTAGAGTCGTGTGTGTGTTAAGGGTTCTGTGCGTGTAGCATAGCATAGAATCATATACACATATAATCATGTTATAATAGCAAAATATAATCATTCAATTATTCTCATTATTCTATACTCACTCTCTGTCTCTCTCTCTCTCTCTCTCTCTCTCTCTCTCTCTTTCTCATTCAGTCTCAATCTGATCACTACATTCACAGTAAACAAAGAGCTTTTAGATACTGACAGTCACTTTGTGTTTCTGTTTTAAGTTGTTTGTGTTGTTTCATTAGTGAATGGTTGAATGTTCTGAGTTGCTCTACACAGCGGCTATTGAGGAATCACTATTTTCAAATGTTGCTTATATTTCTACCGACTCAATGACGGAAACAAATCTTTTTGAGAGAGATAGGTTGAACATATTTCCCAACCTACATAAAACGGATGTTTAAACTCTTGACAATCACATGTAATTCTCTTTTAGCTAAATGACTTTGAACAGAACAGACAGCTGCAGCCAAAATGCTGTTTGTGATGCCAACATGCTGATGTTATGTATAATACTAATAACATTGTCCTTCTGATTAGTTGACAATAACTTTCTTCACTGACATTATGTTTCTGTTGCACAGCTCGTACAGATTGTTCTGTTCTGAACTACATAATGTTGGTTATGCGTGTGGCTGAACTCCTCCTAATTACTGTGATTACTGTTCTTCTCATCAGAGCTCGAGGTGAGAACATTCAGACCAACATTTGTTTACACTGATTAACACAAACTGTAAGTTTAGAGCTGAAATGTTACTCTGTGCTTTATTTTCCAGGGAACCAGAGACCACCTGATGACAGCACTGTGAGTTGAGAATAAAAACTGAAGTGAACCCATGTGTAACAATAAAAATGTATATGAATGATCAGAGACTGTAAGTCAGTGTAAATGATGATAAGCTGCTGCTGGGAACTGTTCATGTTACTGTAAGGCAGGACTGTGAATGTCTCACTGTTTGTGTTTGTGCAGGTTTTAAACTCAGTAAGAAGCCGAGCAGTGAGGCGTTCAGGTCCAGCAGCCAGTCAGGTAAAGATCAGATCAGACAGTAACTGATGGTGTGTTCAGGTGTCAGATTATTTCTTATTTCCTTGTGTTACCTGTGGGTCAGTGATGTGAAAGGGTTTGTTTGTGTTGTGTTTCACAGGTGAATAATGATGAAGATGAAGACGATGGTGTGGTGAAATATGAAACCTTTGGAGAAACTTCTGCCTCCGTCAGACTCCACTGATCAACAACGTCCATATCAACGTCAACTCATCAGAGAAAAGTCTCATCGCTGTTAAATAACATCACATTTACATGAGTAGTTAAAGCTTTCAGATAACAAAAATCTTTTCTGAGTTTTGGACGACTGATTGTTTTTCTTTTTATTAACCAATGTGAGTAATGTGTGTTTTGTGTGCTAAGCTATTACTATTTTAGTCTGACGTAGGACAACAATATCCAGGTCTTGATTTCATCTCATATCAGGAAGCCTACGGTGAGTTTTATAAAATGTTTTTTCCTTCATCAGTTGTTAAAATCTTTATTTTCTGCAACCAGTTCAGAACACAGCAGCTTGAGTTCAGTTCAATGTCTCTGTTTACACAAGAACTCATTTTAAATCACCTCCATTCAGCATTATTATCATATTTGTTGGGCTGTGTATGAGTTTTGCTTGAAGCATATTCAACCTAATGGAGTCATTAAATGTTTTCTCTGTATTATATCTGATAACAATATAACCTGTAAATAAAGAAATGTTTAATTCTACCATTTAATTCTGTTTTTTGTGATTTCATGCAGTAACAGTGTCATAATGGGAAGTGAATCTTCTTTATAATGACTGCTGGCCTCTACTAGTGGTAAAACATCCCATTGTTGGGTTGAACAGCTCTTTTCTCACTAGACATTAAACAATGTCTTAATACAGATAGATAGATAGATAGATAGATAGATAGATAGATAGATAGATAGATAGATATAATTTTTGGATGCACATGGCCGCCTACTCTGACCTAAAATAAAGGGAAACACATTTTACATGTCTTTTTGTTTCACACGGTCCAACTAATCGTGTCTGCAGTGAGCATATTGCACGATAAACCTCCAAACCACAGGTGAAGTGATGTCAGAACAAACTCAGCCACACTGTCTAGTTGAACAATGTGTCTTTATGTCAAAACATGTCCTTTGAAAACAACATGAACATGTTTCTGAACCGAGCAGTGCACAACAAGCAGGCCCAACAGCCAGTACTGAACACCTGCCCATAATATCTGGACTGATTGGATTTAGAATTAAATTGTGTCAGTGACCCTAAACCTTCCAGCAAACCTTCCAAGTGTGTTTCTGATGTTTATCTGGTCATCATTAGAGGGTTGAACCACCAGAGCCCTGCTGCTGTTGTTAACCACATTCTCATGAAAACACTTCTCTTTCAGTGCTCAGAAAAACAACTAAAAAGACAGAATGAGGAACAAACAGATCTCAGACCACTAAAACATCATCTTATCTGTGTCCTTGCAACTGCTACAGTATCACCATAATGCACCATGGACATCAAGAGTCAAACTCTGGTGGACGAGGAGTTTGACTCTTCACCTGTCTGTTCATGTGTGCTGTTAAACATCATCATGACTCCTGTCTGTTTGCTAATAAACACTATCTAAATAAAACAAGATGCATCATTGCAAACATTTATCTTAACTAACAATCTTCACACATTAAACTTCCTCTTCTTCTTCTTCTTCTTCTCAGGAGGTGAAACACGTCATTGTCACAAATACACCGTGGGATTGGACACAGTGTGAACTTGAGACTCAGTATGAGTCTTAATATAGTTTGTTTGTTACAGCGTTAGATTGGCTCAGTGAATGAAAAAAAATATTCCTTTATTTATTTTATATCAGAGAAAACTACATTTTAAACATCTAAAATTAGAAATTGTAAATTTAAAGGTTTTGTCAGTTTGAACATATATAAGAAATTCAGAGATGAAAATCTAAATCAGACCAAACCTCACTATGAGGAAGTGACATCAAACTAACCACAGGAAGTAGATGCAGCGTCTCTCTACTGAAGCACTACTTTATAAACTCACACAGTTATGAGCATGAGAACAAGAGATAGAAGAAGGAGAGAGAGACAGAGAATCACGATGGTTGAGTTCAAATGGATTCAAATGTCTTTATTTCTGATAGCGCTGCTTCACTTTACAGGTAAGAACACATATATCACATATATTAAAACTATCTTTATCAATATTGTTAAAGATACTTCATTATCTACATTTTATTTATATAAGACAAGTAATAAACAAGTCACACTTAATGTTAACTTTACATATATTTTTCATGATTATGTCTTTTCTTTATAACAGCAGCAGCTGAAAAACTCCTCTCTGTCAGAGTTGGAGGTGACGTCACTTTACCTTGTGATAATGTGATTGATGGTCAGCAAAGATGTGAAAATACTACATGGCTGTTCAGTGCTTCAGGAAACACAACAGCGCTGTTTGAACTTGGACGGAACAAAAACTCTATATCAGACAGACTGAGTGTTACAGAGAACTGTTCTCTGGTTATAAAGAAGGTCACAGTCGAGGATGTTGGTCGTTACACCTGCAGACAGTTCAATGGAACAGGACAACAACAAGGTCCAGACTCTGAGGTTGATCTGTCTGTTATTACCAGTGAGTATTTACATCATAATGTTTTCAGCTCAAACTGTAATATTTTCAAACTAATGTTAATCATTTACAGAAGCCCTAAAGGGCCATGTATTCATACATTTTATTTCCTCCGTTTTCCCGTGATAACGAGTTAATTAATTTGAGGTACAGTGAAAGCAGGTACAAATGTGGAATTTTATTGTTGAATTTCTCCAAATTGGTAGTAAAATGCTTGATATTAAGTATGTTTTTTATTCATCATGGGCGCATGAAACACTTTAATGTAACATATTTTATTTTAAATGTTGGTTCGAATTACAGCTTACTGTTCTTAAAACCTTTATTTTGAAAACCGGAAGTGAATACGCTGTAAATTTAAGTGCGGCTGATTTGACCGCAGTTATCATATCACAGTCGTTATCTCGAGATCTCGAATTAATCAACTCGTTGTCACGGGAAAACTGAGGAAATAAAATGTATGAATACATGGCCCTTTAGGGCTTCCGTAATAATTACCTAAAACATATGTTCTTTTTATTTTACATATTTGAAGTTTTATTTAACATCCCAACACAAGTTTTGAACAGTTTGTTGAGTTTTGTTTATCTGTTCAGGTGAGGACACAACAACAACAACAACAACAACAACTGATAATGCTTCAACAGAACTAAAAGGTAATGACTCAATATTTTAATGTTTCTCTCTTGTGCTCTCTCTCTCTCTCTCTCTCTCTCTCTCTCTCTCTCTCTCTCTCTCTCTCTCTCTCTCTCTCTCTCTCTCTCTCTCTCTCTCTCTCTCTCTCTCTCTCTCTCTCTCTCTCTCTCTCTCTCTCTCTCTCTCTCTCTCTCTCTCTCAGAATGAGTATTGTTATATATAGTATATCAAAGTTGGCCCCTCCTCCCCCGGTTCAACAGAAGTTCACACTGGAGCTTCCTCTTAGATGACTCTTACTATCTGTTTACAAGCTGTTATTGGCTGGGAGTGTAGCAAGCCGTGCTACAGACGGGGTTCCCCAGCACACAAAACTCCCGGACCAGACTGTCGGTTCACACAACTCTTTATTTAAGGCACAAAATGCAGCTGCACCGCTGCTCGGCAGCTTCCGCCCAGAGGCCTGTCTTTCGGTGCGTGTCTCCCCCGGATCCAGCACACTACTGCCAAGATAAAAGGTAGAGTCATCAGACAATCATTGGCAGGTGAGGTAATCAACTCACCTGGTGCCACTCTCCCAGGCCTTCCCCACACCTCTCCCTCCTGCAGCTGAGCGCGAACCACGCCCACCTCCACATACCCCCACCGCCCGGATTTAGGCCGGGCGCCATCCGGCCTAACCTACTCCCCCCCTCCCCATAGGAGCGGGAGAGAAAGTCGGCCACGGCCATCTGCGCCCGGTCTATGGACCACCCTGAATTTAAACGGCTGTAAGGCCAGATACCACCGAGTGATCCGGGCGTTGGCATCTTTCATGCGGTGGAGCCACTGGAGGGGGGCATGGTCCGAACAGAGGGGTGAACGAGCGCCCCAGCAGGTAATAACGCAGAGCCTCGACCGCCCACCGGATCGCCAAGCACTCCTTCTCGATCGTGCTATACTGAGACTCCCTCTCCGACAGCTTCCGGCTGATGTATAACACCGGGCGGTCGACATCCTGCACCTGCTGGGACAGAACGGCCCCCAGCCCTCTGTTCGAAGCGTCAGTCTGCAGGATAAAGGGGAGAGAGAAGGTAGGTGTGTGAAGAAGAGGCTTCCCACAGAGGGTTTGTTTTACCTTCTCAAACGCCAGCTGACACTGCTCCGTCCACTGGACCGGATCTGAGGCACCCTTTCGAGTGAGGTCGGTCAGGGGGCTGGTCAAGTCTGCAAAGTGCGGAATGAACCGCCGGTAATAACCTGCCAGCCCCAGGAACCGCCTGGTCTTGGGCCGTGGGCTGGCTGCAATTGCTGCTGTCTTGTCTACCTGAGGACGCACCTGCCCACTGCCCAAGTGGTACCCCAAATACCGTACCTCCCTCCGTCCAACTGCACACTTCTTCGGGTTGGCAGTGAGCCCCGCCTGCCTCAGTGACTCGAGCACCGCCGCCACACTCTGCACATGCTCCCACCAGCTGTTACTATGGATGATAACGTCATCCAAGTAGGCGGCCGCATACGCAGAGTGCGGACGCAGGACCCGGTCCATGAGACGCTGGAAAGTGGCTGGGGCCCCAAACAACCCGAAAGGAAGTGTGACAAATTGGTACAATCCATACGGAGTGGAGAAGGCCGTTTTTTCCTTAGACTCTGGAGACAAGGGAATCTGCCAATAGCCCTTGGTTAAATCCAGTGTCGTGAAAAAGCGAGCAGTGCCTAACCGATCCAGGAGCTCGTCGACCCGAGGCATCGGATAGGCATCAAACCGTGACACATCATTCACCTTGCGATAGTCCACGCAGAACCGAATAGACCCATCCTTCTTAAGTACCAGAACAATGGGGCTACACCAGGCACTGTTGGACTCTTCTATTACCCCCATCTCCAGCATGGCCTTCAATTCCTTCTGAACCACCTTTCTTTTGTGTTCAGGTAACCGATAGGGCCGTGAACGCACTGTCACGCCCGGGTGAGTCTCAACATGATGCTGTATGAGATTTGTGCGTCCTGGCAGGGGGGAGAACACGTCAGCAAAACGCTGTTGCAACGCGGCAACGTCTGCTCTCTGGGACGGTGTGAGATGGTCATCACAATGGAGTGAGGCAGGATTGGTGGAATTTGGGACCTCAGGCCCCAACTCATCTCTCTCTTTCACCGTGGTCACCAGAGAAACAGGCTCCGCCTCTCTCCACGCTTTAAGGAGATTGAGATGGTAAATCTGTGCTGCACCTCCCCTGTCAGAACGCCCAACCTCATAATCGACATCACCCACTCGCCGTGTGACCACGAAGGGCCCTTGCCACTTGGCGAGTAATTTAGAGCTGGAAGAAGGGAGTAATACAAGTACTTTGTCTCCCGGTGCAAATTGTCTGAGCCTAGTTCCTCTGTTGTACAGGCGCTGTTGACGCTCCTGGGCCCTGAGCAAATTCTCCCGTGACAACCGGCCCAATGTGTGGAGTTTTGCTCTCAGGTCCAGGACGTACTGAACCTCATTTTTACTTGGGCTCGGACCCTCCTCCCAGCTTTCTTTAACAAGGTCCAGAACCCCCGTGGTGTCCTGCCAAACAGCAGTTCAAAGGGAGAAAATCCCGTTGAGGCCTGGGGCACCTCACGCACTGCAAACAACAGAGGATCTAGCCACCTATCCCAATTACGGCCGTCATCGTGCACAAACTTACGGATCATGGACTTCAGGGTTTTGTTCAGACGCTCGACATGGCCGTCGGTCTGAGGGTGGTACACACTAGTCCGAATTGACCTGATGCCCAATAACCCATAAAGTTCCCGGAGTGTACGTGACATAAACGAGGTGCCCTGGTCCGTTAGGATTTCTTTTGGGATCCCAACTCGGGAGATGACCTGGAACAGTGCCTGTGCCACACTCTTTGCAGAGATTGTGCGCAGAGGCACTGCTTCCGGATATCGGGTTGCATAATCCACTAGGACTAATACAAAGCGATATCCTCGTGCGCTCCGGTGAAATGGCCCGATGAGGTCCATGCCAATACGCTCAAATGGAACCTCCATGAGTGGTAATGGGCGCAAAGGCGCTCTCGGGATGGCCGGTTGGTTAACCAACTGACATTCCGGGCAAGATGCACACCAGCGGCGTACATCTGCCCTAATGCCAGGCCAATAGAATCGGGCCATTATCCGGTTAAGTGTCTTCTCATACCCCATATGCCCCGCCATTGGGTTATAATGAGCCGCCTGGAAAACTGTTTCCCGGCGGCTTTCCGGCACCAACAACTGGGTGATTTCCTCTCCTGACTGAGTGTCACGACTCACTCTGTATAACCTGTCCCTAACCAATGCAAAATGCGGATATGTCTGCGCTGCGTCAGGGTGCACCAACTGACCATCAATTTTTATCACTTGGTCAAAGGCAAAGCGTAGAGTATTGTCGCGAGACTGCTCGAGTGGAAAATCTTCCGTGGAGCGCAACATGGGGACCTGTGGAGCCTCTGGCGGAGGCACCACCGATCCCTCCTCCCCCTCTGCAGCGTCGGACAACCTCGCGTCACCACTGAGCACAGCGCACATATCCCATGTCCCTACCGGCCGTGAACGCACCCCCGCACACTGCCCCACTAATCGATTAAACCCAGGCCAATCCGTGCCCAAAATCAGGGGGTGCGTCAGGCGGGAACTAACCGCAGCCTTAACAATATGCTTTTTACCCATATATCTAATTTCCACGGGTACAACCGGGTATCTGTGAATATCCCCATGTACACATCTAATGTCCACCCACGATGCCTCTACCAAAGCCCCGGGTCGAACCAGGTGCTGATGAATTATAGACTGCGTGCAGCCCGAATCCACCATTGCCTGATGTATACCCCCTTGGATCCTTACCGGGACGCTGTATGTCCCTCCTGGACCGGGGGAGGGTGTTGGTGGGCCAGCAACCCGGACCACTTGTCCGACTTCCATGAGAGGGCACTCCCTGCGGAAATGCCCGGGCTGCCCGCACCGCCAACACTCCTGCCCTGACGCCTGAGGAACCCTCTGTGGGCCGAGAGCGGCACCCGTAGCGGCTGGACCCTGGGAAGGAGAGAGAGAAGAGGTTTGGTTACTGCGTGGCAGAGGGAGAGGCCGGGCAACAGTTTCCAGTCGGGGGGTAAGCGGGGGTGGGGGTCTCCTGCGGGGCGCCGGCACGGGTCGGGCGGGTGCAGAGGGCCGCCTCTCCGGAGCTCGGTCCCCACCGTGGACAGCCAGATGATCCTCGGCGAGGGTGATGGCGGCCTCCAAATCCGCCGGTCGGTGGCACCGCACCCACTCCGCGGTCCCGGTCGGGAGCCCCTCCACAAACTGCTCCAGCACCACCAGCTCCAGCATCAGCCTCTCACCGCTGGATCCCCCGGCTGCAGCCACCTGGTGGCAGCGTCCTTCAGCTGCTGCGCAAAGACGAATGGACGGTCAGAGGATCCCAGTGTGGCGGACCGGAACCGGCGGCGGTGATCCTCGGGGGAAAAACCCATCCTGTCTAGGATGGCTCTTTTGACGATCCGGAACTCCCCCCGAGCAGAAGCTGGCAGGCCGAGCGCCGCAGTCTGGGACTCTCCCGACAGCAGGGGAAGCAGGCGCACGGCCCACTCCGCCGCCGGCCAGCCACAGGCCTCCGCCGTCGCCTCAAACATTTCGAGGAAGGTTTGGGGGTCATCCGCCGCTGTCATCTGGTGCATGGTGATGCCGGAAAAGGAGGAGCATGGAGGGGATGGAGACTGTGCCCCCGACCGGGCCAGCAGTCCCTCCAGCAGCTGGTTCTGCTTCCCCGCCTGGTTCTGGAGTGCCTCCAGATGCCGTCTATTTGTTGCCGTCTGCTGGCTGTGTATTGCCGTGATCTGCCCCAGCATCTCTCCCAGCAGTGTGATCAGCTGTGATGGCTGCTCCGTAGGCGGCTGCGGAGGTGGCTGCTGTGGAGGCTGCTGCATGGGCGGTAGTGGATCGGACATTTCCGTGTGCTGCCCCACGTTGGGCGCCAGTGTAGCAAGCCGTGCTACAGACGGGGTTCCCCAGCACACAAAACTCCCGGACCAGACTGTCGGTTCACACAACTCTTTATTTAAGGCACAAAATGCAGCTGCACCGCTGCTCGGCAGCTTCCGCCCAGAGGCCTGTCTTTCGGTGCGTGTCTCCCCGGATCCAGCACACTACTGCCAAGATAAAAGGTAGAGTCATCAGACAATCATTGGCAGGTGAGGTAATCAACTCACCTGGTGCCACTCTCCCAGGCCTTCCCCACACCTCTCCCTCCTGCAGCTGAGCGCGAACCACGCCCACCTCCACAGGGAGGAAAATATATTATTATATATTTTTACATAAGTCTGTACATTGTTTTTAAGAAAAATCCTTCTCATTATGCTTTTAACAACATGCCTCAAACTACGGTTGAAAGCTCTGGGAAGAACTATAAAAGGACCTTGAGTTCAGTGGTGTTTTAATGTTTGTTTTATGAAAGTAGTTGAAGAAAATGGTCTTAATTGATGCAGTTGTTACACTCACAGTGTTAGATCCATTAAAACTATCAACTGAGTTTAGTCATATTTAAAATGAAATTGTCTTCACTTTTAGCTAAATGATTTTTAATGAACTGGAACCTGCAGCCAAAAGGCTTCAAATATTTTCATTATCTTCCCAGGTTGGTGGTGGGTGTTCCTCATTGTGGCTGTGGTTTTAGCTGCACTTTTAATAATAGTTGTGAAAGTCATCAGATGGAAGAGAACTAAAGGTGAGAGCACAGATTAAACTTTCATAAACAAGAAGTTTTAATGAAACTGGATTTTCTCTTTGGGAACTAAAGTCGACTCTTTTTTGTCTTTTAAGGGAAGAAAACACGGATGAATGACAATGTTGTAAGTTATTCACACTACATTTTGATTCTGAGAAAGGATAAGATAAGATAAACAGTACTGACTGTGTTTTGGTTGCAGCAGCAAAGGTCAAGGCAACAACAGAGTTGAATCAACTCCTCTCTGACACACTGTCAACACAAACTGAACATTATAAGCTTCATAGAGACAGTATTTGTGCTGGTTGTGTTAGATTGCATCTCAAGTCAAATTGAATTCATCCACTGGACTGAAGTTGTAGATCTGAAGATGTTCTGACACTCCCATCACACTACCTGTACCTGAATCCTGCACAGATATACTGCACACATTGTACAGGAGCTGTTTGTATTGTACCCTGACAACATGTGCATCAACTGAACTGTAAGATGCTTCTTGTGTTTGTCCAGGGACTGACCTCAAACCCTGCAGTGACTCAGTCTGCTCCAGAAACCAGTCAGGACACAGTGAGATCACACACTACACCCAGTACAAAGTTACACTCTCTGAAATATAACTGTATTTTACATTCTGTACAGTACTGAGAGTGTGAGAATGTGCAGTAAAGATAAAAAGGGAAGTTAGATGATGCAACTGGACTACAGCAGAAGAGAACATGAGTGTCAAACTGGGTTTTAAAACCAGAGGTCAGAGGTCAAACCACCACAAATAAACTACTGTACAACATTTTGAGACATTATTTTAAAGAGACATAACATGACCTCTTTGGCAGAAGTCAATTTAAAATGCTGACTCTGATAAAACAGAATGGAATAAAGTTAGAAGTGTGAGTCAGTATGAATCCACATGTTACTGAGCAGCCATGATGTTGTCTTCTCTGTGTAGGCTGATCCTGAAGATGGTGTTTCCTACGCCTCCATCAGCTTCACCAAGAAGACCAACAGTAAAGGCCGGGTAAGCTGTCTGTTTGGTTATAGTGATGATGGTAGTGAATGAAAACACTTTTCATGTAATAAAAACAGGAAAGATTCTTTATTTTACCATTAAAGCTCAGGTCTACATGGAAGGATTGTAAAATCAGTGTGTCCAACACTTTGGTCCAGAACTAAATATCTCAACAACTACGGGCCAGAGGTGTTCAGGACATGTTTGTACAAATTAAAGATTTGTACAAACAAATCTTTAATACCAAATCTTCAAACTGAACTGACTTTACTGAATCACTGTTTGTGGCTGGATATCAGAATGTTGCATCATTCTGTGTCATTTAATGCTGTGTAATTTATTATGTTGTGTTGTTTGTGTCTTGTTCTCCAGGTTCGGGATAAAGACGATGATGATGATGATGAAGCAGTGACCTACGTCACTGTGAAAGCTTCCTCTTCTTCTGCTGGAGCCTCTGCTGATCCCAGCAACCTCTACGCCACCGTCAACAAACCAAACAAATAAGAGACCACAGTATAGTTACAGCTCATATCATCACACTTATTTTACATTGATAACTGATACTGATAAATGTTTGACTGTGTTTCTGTATTAGATGATCATTTTAAGGATTTATTGCTGTAAAAAGCCTTTTTGTCCAGAAGGGGCAGTAGTAGGTTAACTAGTAGCACAATGTGAAAAGCAGAAGCAAAAACCAGTGGAGAAAGACAATCTTTGACTTCAGTCCAAGTAATAATACCACAGTGTGCAAATACTCCTATAACAGTCCTGCATTCACACCTTACTTCAGTATAAGCATAAATATTATCAGCAACATATACTTCAAAGGTAATACATTATACAGTAAAATTGTCTCTGTCAGTGTTTAACTATTATATATTATTATATTTGTGAATAACATAACTGCTTCATTAATGTGTGTGATGCTTTTTACTGGTGTAGATATTTCAGGTTGTGCTCATTTTAACCCTTTTATATAATGTTGGCTAGTTTAATCTACAGCAATGCATCACATCATATTCTATAAATTCATCATATGTTTATATTGTGTTTTTCTTGATGAACTCTGTTTTAGTGTTCACTGTTATTTTTGTATCACCTGTTATTGTTTGATATTCAGTAATTTTAACATCTATATCTCTGTTCAGGATCTTCATGATGTTCTGGTATGAAAGTAATTAAAGCAAACTAAGTGGAAGTGGGACAACGCTCATCTTGACTAAGTCACTTTTTTTGCAGGGGGGGGGGGGGTTATTGCATTTAAGGGATAGTAACAGCAAGGGAGGAGGTAGACAGAGAGAGAGGGGGAATGACACAAAGCAAAGGGCCACAGTTCAGACCCGAACCCATGGCCGCTGCAGCAAGGACTCAGCCTTAGTTTCATTGAACTGAACCACTCTGTCAAGAAAACCAACATATCAGCACTAAGAAAGGTTCAGATATGTTATATAATGATAAACCATCTCAATGAATCATCCAATAATATATTACTGGAACTATAATAATGTTTGGGAGGGTGGGAAAGTGCCACAAAGCTGGAAGGAGCCTGTTATATTTCCAATATGCAAACCTGAAATTATTGACCAATTGCTTTAACATTCAACATCATGAAGAAAATGATCAATGAAATGTTAACTTGTTATATGAGTTTATGCATAGGTGCATTAAAAACAAACCCTACTTTACAGTGAAAATGGGATGAATGCCACTAAAATTGAGAAGGATACAATTATCATTTAATTACTGGGTTAACTTACCATAGTGAAGATCACCCAACGCAAGACACTTTAAAACCTTGTTGGGAAAAGGAGGAAGACAAAAAGCTTTGGATGGACAGAGAGACGAAAAGCAACAGAGCTCCAAATAGCTCAGTTAAACATTAGTCCAACAGTATTGCATTCGTGATACTTCCTTATACCACAGTTGATTTTACATTATAAGAAATAAGAAACAAGGATAGGGAGTTTATTTTTAATGCCATACCATACAGGCATATGTCCTATTGAAAGTTGCATCCAGATTTATTATGCACCCACAACTTTAGTTAATGAAATAGGGATTGTATTTATTGTTCCAAAGTTTCATCTGAAAATATGGAAAAATATCAGTGTTGAATTATCAGTTCGAACAGAAGAAATGTAATTTTGCTGGCACTGCAGTGGACAAAGGATGCAAGACCACTGAGAACAATCATTTGTTCAGATTCAAGTTCATCACCACTAAATCTACACACTGGTTCTTAATGTAAATAGTCCTCAAAGTTGATGTGTTAGAAGCAGGAAAAATGGGCAGCGTGAGGATTTGAGCGACTTTGACAAGGGCCACATTGTGATGGCTAGACGACTGGGTCAGAGCATCTCCAAAACTGCAGCTCTGTGGGGTGTTCCCTCTGCAGTGGTCAGTACCTATCAAAAGTATATATTGAATGAATCTGACGTCATCGAGGCACTGGTGCCATCTTATGTTTTAGATGTGTAATATTTTTACCATGTACCTTCAAGACAGTCAAGTCATGCCCATTCAAGCTGGAAGGGCACATCCCCCATCAGATTTTTGATATCTTGATTTTATTTAATTTTTTCATTGTCATTATTATTTTGATTGTGATTATTAAATACTGTATCAAAATGAAGACACTGATTTGGTGAAAACGCTTCCTAATCCTCTCTGACTGATGCTCTTTTAGTAATCATCATGTATTTGTAGCATTTTACACACATGAAACTAAATTTCTCCTCTGCATTTGACCCATCCTAAATACATTAGGAGCTGTGGGCAGCCGTAAGCACCTGGGGAAGCAGTTAGGGGTTAGGTGCCTTGCTCAAGGGCACCTCGGCAGAGCACAGGAGGTGGAACTGGCATCTCTCCAGCTGCCAGTTCACTCCATACTGTGATCCATGCTGGACTCGAGTTCCCAAGCCAAGTCCCTACAGAATGAGTTACTGCCACCCATGACATGTGAAACATGAGACGCTACGTTTGCCAAAAAGGAAAGTTCGATGAGGCTATGAGTTGCCCTGGTCACCGGACGTCTCCCTTCATAAAAAAGCAGAATATTGAGTTATATCCAACCAGTCTGATGTGTGTACAGCTCTGTATGTTTATATTGTAGCAGCCTTCTGTCATTTTCAGGGAATTTAATGAATTCAGATGCTGCAGGGACTTTATGAACTGAAGGAGAAGCTTTTTAAACAATATAAAGCAGTTATGGACAGCAAATACTGTAAGAATCACCCACATCAATTCATATATCAGCGACTGATTTACTGACTGTCCTGCTTTAACCACATTAAACCTTATGCTGCGTCCTATGCATTGTGTTTGAACATACAGCTACAGTACAGTAACAGCGTGAATATTGGCACACACTCACCAGGATGTTAATTATCTCTTCATTAGTTAGGATTGCTTCTTACAGATACCGTGCAGGCTCACTCAGTCCCACACTTCTTGCAGTAACGTCCTTATGGAATAATATTAGGCCGGTATCGAAAACACAAGATGGTGCAGTGCCTTAATCACGTGACATTTCATTCCATGTATTTAAAGTTTCTGGAAATTATATATATTTATGAAATTTAAATAAATATAGAATTAAACTTTAAAAACTGTACATATTTCATGTCTATGTTGTTGAGCTTATTCTGTGTTTGTACATAAAATGTAAAACCGGGATCAAATTCCTTGTATGTCTGCACATACCTGACCAATAAAAGAGATTCAGATTCAGATTCAGATTCAGATACCAGTTGGTGGCAGCAATGCACCAATTCTTTGTTTGCCAACCACCTGGAGGAGGAGGAGAAGGAGGAGCTCAGAGCAGCCAGCTAAAGAGAGTCAGGACCTGCGGAGACGTCTACACCAGTGTGGATCAACAGAAACCCAGTTAGCGAGACGACGGTGCCAGCCAGCCAGCAGAAAGGTTCAGAGTGTTAGGACGCCACACAGGGGCAGAGTGAGGAGCTCTGTCTGTCTGTGTGAGAACCTTTGGGGTACTCTGGAACACTCTGGCCCGAGAGACCTGAAGTTAATGGTTGTACAGTACTGAACTCCTGCCCATAATATTTGGACCTTCAGTCTCCTCTGATTCTAGTATTGGACATTGTATTTCCCCCTGTTCTCTTCCCTTTTTTCTGGTTATATATTTGTAATTCTTTTAGCCAGTGTTTTGACCTGAAATGCATGAAGGACTCATTTTAAAGTATTGTGCTTTTAAGTATTCTACTCTGCTTTTAATTAGGAGTTATATTTGAGCCCATAGAAGTTGCTGTATGTCCTTGCCGAAGTAACACAATAAAGTTCTCCTGTACTGTCCTGCTAATAACGTTTGTGACTCTGTGGTTATACACAGTATTACTCACCAACTGACTGTGGACTGTCTGTTCCTGTGAGCCTCGTGTGTTTCTGATGTGTGTGTGTGGTCATCATTAGAGGGTTGAACCACCAGAGCTCTGCTGCTGTTGTTAACCACATTCTCATCAAATAACTTCCCCTCCTCCTTCAGTTCTCAGGGAAAAAAAGACAGAACAAGGAACCAACAGGTGTCAGACCACTAAAACATCATCTCATCTGTGTCCTTGCAGCTGCTACAGTATCACCATATTGCAGCATGGACATCAAGAGTCAAACTCTGGAGGACGAGGAGTTTGACTCTTCACCTGTCTGTTCATGTGTGCTGTTAAACATCATCATGACTCCTGTCTGTTTGCTAATAAACACTATCTAAATAAAACAAGATGCAAACATTTATCTTAACTAACAATCTTCACACATTAAACTTCCTCTTCTGGGGAGGAGGAGGAGGTCAAACACGTCATTGTCACAAATACACCGTGGGAATGGACACAGTGTGAACTTGAGACTCAGTATGAGTCTTAGTATAGTTTGTTTGTTACAGCGTTAGATTGGCTCAGTGAATGAAGAAACATATTTATTTCCTCTGAGAGAAAACTACATTTACAAAATGTAACAGTGAAAATTTTGTTTTTGGAAGTTTGAACATAAATAAGAAATTCAGAGACAAACATCGTCACTTTGAGGAAGTGACATCATACTAACCACAGGAAGTAGATGCAGCCTCTCTCTACTGAA